CGTAGGTATTTCGGTTGGTGTTGGCATATTAGAGTCCGAATCAGCCAGCCAACCACCGAAACCAACTGGAAGCTCTAAACTTAACCGATGAACCCGCGTACACATCCCTGTGAAGTGGACTAGTGAGGGCGCCAATGATGATATCCGTGGATGCTTAGCTGGTGGGACCAGTCAGACTTGATCCCTGCTGAAGCTCTGGCCAAACAATGGGGTTTTGTTTGAAGTCGGTGGGAGAGCTGGGTGAGACTTTGTGGCGCAGTAACATTAAGACCCCTTACACACATCTGCGCAAGGCAGGTACGAAGTTCGCTATGAAAATAACAGAGTGTTTTACTGAATCGTAATGGGGATTTCAGTCATATGCGTGGAAAGGGAAAGAAGGGGCAAAGACAAAAGCCAGAAGGGCTTGTATGAAAAATAGTTGTTTTTAGTGCTCTGGTGGTGTGGACTGGACCCAAGTACATGCACTGATTTGAACCTCAAGGCTATAAGTACTAAAGTACTAGGTAGGTATGTAATATGCCTACAAACATGGAGAGAAGGCTGAAAGCCGTAATACATATCCAAGAATGATGTTATTTGTCGCGGGGACTTGTGTGATTTGGTATAGAAAAGCTCGACCTATTGTTCTTTATTAGTTCTATGCTTTAGGGTAAAAGGCTGGACCAAGACCATAACATACCTACCTGGGTAATTACTCACATGTGCATATCATAAATCAGGCATATTTACCAAGGAAACTACTTATACATAAAAGTGCAACAGTACTAACATATTGAAATACACTGCATTATTACCCCGTACTTTATCTTACGGAGGAGGTGCCTCACAATCCGCAGTCATTCTCCACATTTGAGTCAGTGTCGTCATGAAATTCCCGATCACTTTCTGCGTGCCTGGGCGTCTAGCAGTTAATTAATCTTAACCCCGCCAACAGCAGAACACTTTGGGCTACCTTATGTTACTGCTGGTATGAGGCGACTGATGTGCCAAGAGGAAAGCAAGACATCCATTATTCCATCTAGGCTTTGATCTCATAGTGAATGCGTTTTTGGTAGTAAGATCTCGTGTTACTAGATCCTCGAAATGCCGTAAACAACCCAGGAAGCATGTTTTTGTATCAGCTCTGCCTGTCGTTTCTCCATCCGTCAGAGTCATCGCCAACTTGGAATACCTACCTACCTACCTTAGTAGACATATCTGGGCCCGGAGCCACTCAAACGCCATCACCAGTGGTCTTGTGCCTCCCCACATTTGACCTCATCACGTTACGATAACAACCCAACCTGCTACCGACAACTCATAGCACACCAGGGACAACCCAAGCTCTCTTTAAATTCACTACATATGGAACAATGGACTCGTCTCCGCTTGTAAAAGCACACGATCATGTGCGCGCCGCCAGTGTCGCTCATCACTCCTCCGACAGCACAGTCGCAATCACGGAACATACTCAAGCTGCTGGCGAGTTCGCCAACGCTGCTAGATCAACCTCCAGCATCGAAGCTCTGCGAACACTGAAGCTCCTAGAACAACACCATCGCAGGATCGCCGAGATCTTAAACCGACCGACCGAACCTACCTCCCAGACTAGCGATGCCGATCTCAACGAGAAGCATTCGTCAACCAAGGCGAATCTCCCCACACAAAATGCGGACGACAAGAAAGAAAACAGGAAGGACTCTACGGCGTCAAAGAAACTGTCCCCTCCGACCCAGCGTAGATATGCTCCACGGGAAATGTCCTCTTCTATCGCCAGCAACTTGGCTACCGCTCGTGGCATCCGATCAAAGTACAGAGGCCAACCTCTCGCGCCCAGTGTTTCCAATGACCAAGCTCCCGGAAATCTAGACGCAGCCTCGCACCCTCGCGGAACCAAGGCCAAGATGCAGACTATCATCGATCACCAGCCTGGCAAGCCGACGTGGGTACCACCTGTTCCTGCAACCACACGCTCCGATAGTTACGGTAGAGCCTCATCGTCCCCACGCACCGATGCAGCCCCCTCTGCGGCACTCAGTGATGACGGAGGATATACTCGATTCTACAACACCTTTGGGAGCCTCATCAATAAGATCTCAGCACCTTTGGCATTTGCCGGTCTGCCACTAATCCAAGAGGAATCCACCATTTCAGAAACACCTGACTCCCCAGAAATGTCCCCCAGTCCCAAGCGTAGTCACCTTAAGGCGTCCCCCTCCAAGGTCCTAGAACCAGACCTTAGCAAGATCTACTCCAAGGCTACCATGCAGGCTCTTGCTAGAGAAGGGCACGGAGCTAACGATTCTTTCTACGTTGTACCCACTACTGGCCACACTATGTCTTATGCAAATATTCTCAGCTTTGCCGAGAAGGAAAAGAGAAGACTAGGGGCATCATCCCACAGTGATCTTCTCGATGTTGCTGATGAAGATGACGACGACTTTGTGGATGCACGAGAAGCACCCCCGTTGTCGCCTGGAGCCAAACGTCGTATTGGCCGTGCCCGCACTGACAAGGACTTCAACAACATCATCGAAGAGCTATACACTGAAAATAAATCTCTAAAGGACACGCTAGATAAGCTTACCAAGCGGCTCCACGCCTTTGAAGCCAGTGCTCAGAATTCCGCGATGGCTCTTGCTGAAAGTTACCGTCTCATGCGCCCTGGATCGCCCACTGCTTCACCACATACCAGCAAAGTTGCCGATGAATCCTTGCGACGCAAGAACCAAGAGTTGGAAGAACAGCTAACCGCAGCCGTTAAACAGATGGAGCGACTTGAAAAGGACAACCGAAAGATGCAAAAGGTTTTGGACAAGTATCGTGAGAAGTGGGAGACACTGAAGGCTGGGGCGAAAGCTCGGAGAGAGGCTCAAGGAACGAGTGAGAGCGTGGATGATGCATCGACAACCGGGTAACAAAGGGATCACAAGTCTTTTTGATATTCCGTAAAACCTACAGGAGTTTGGATCAGCAGAGTCTTGTCCATAGGCAATGGATTGACAATGTTGACAACCCGCATTGTCGTCTCATCACATCACAGTCGCTGAAGTGTGTGTATCAGCCTCCTGCAGATGCGTGTGAAGTCCACCCGTGGATCTACTTGCCCCATGGCCTGCTAATTCCACCAGAAGCTCACACTGAAGCTCACGCTTAGACTTCTCACATAATGCCACCATCCGATAGGAATAACCAGCGTGTCTCCTGGTTTAAGGATACACTCCCAATACTCGATACCTTCGAGCTGTTTCCTCATCTTTTGGACATCTTCGCCATTCATATCCTTAGGTTTCTCATCCCATCCCTCAAGCACACCTACATCCAATCTACTCGTATTACTCATATCAACACCATGCTCGGATACCCGCGGCTGCATCGCATATGCTGCGCGAGGAGGATACAGACGGATATATTTTGTTCCAACGACCTGACAGAGCAGGTTATGATAGCCATCGGTGTGAAGAGGTGTGATAGTACGCGCTGGGCCGAACCAGGCATTGAGCTGGGGCAGGTCAACTGACGGCTGATTTAGAGACGGAGTTGTCGGATGAGGTGGGACGTCGACCCAGCAGAAGTCCGGTACGTATATGTCGTTACGAAGAGAAGGGATCTGGTGGAAGAGGTTATGCTGGGCGAGATAGCCAATGGTATCTGTTTCTCCTGTAACATAGCGATCAAGAAAATCGCGGAACTGTATAAGTTCTTGTCCCCAACCCTCATCAACATAACTTCTACCGATTTCAACCGGTACCAGACGTCTCCCCCCAAAGGTCTGAGAGAGGAGATACTCCGGATCCTTCCAGGGGCGGTCTGTGAGAGCAGGCCACCCTGTAATTAAGTCTGTGAAGATGACAGGCCGAGGCTCTCGGTTGTTGCTATTCATGTAGTCTTCAAACTGTGGCATTGTCCAGCCCGAGTGTCGAGGACATTCCCTCGTAGGTGAGAGCCTCGGTTGTCCATGAGGCTGGTAGTTGGAAAAGCATTGCGTCGAAGTGTCATATCTTTGACGCTTTGTTGGCCTCTCAGGTTCCTCATTCGCCGTCCAGGCTACTTCAAGCATCCGTATCGTCTCTTCAAGCCATTGTTGTCGTCCACCACCACCAGCCGTAATGAGTGCTCTGTCAAGCTTCTCAACGACAAGATCTAGAAGCTCATCTGGGACAATGCCATCAATTATGAGTGGTTGCACAATGAGGCTAAAAGAGTCAAGGATGGAAGTGTCAGTGTATATCTGACGCCATACGACAGGGAGGAGGTCATAGCGGTAGGCGTAAAATTTGGATGATGAGATGGAGATCAAGTCTGCTATTCTTCTTTTAAGGAGACCCTGATTGACGTTGACGTTGACGATGCTCTTATTCGACGTCAAATCTTTGTGGATTGTGACCAATGCATGAGCCTGTTGTGCAAGAAGCCGAGCCACGGCATCTCCTGTGGGATCTGTATGCGCAGCGGAGTCTGTCGATTTTCCTAAAACCCTCTCAGAAACCCCTCTGGACTCTTCAGAGCTTGATGAGCCTGTATTTGCCGTTCTCGACCGAGCGTCTGGTGTCTTAGCGAGCTCTTGAGTTATCTCGAAATACCTGACGAGAATTTTCCCATATACCGCTGACGCCATATTTTAGGAGAGATATAATTTAATGAGATTCAAATCAGCCCTAGTTTCAAGACGGTGTTGTTTCAAGACGCTTGTCATCCGCCAGGACTAAAGTGTTGTGATAGTGTAAGAGCACAGAATTGACACATCACCGCTCAGCCGTGGAATTGGTCGTACTAAGCACCCAATGATAAGGAGTTTTCACACACAATGTTCCTCAACATGATCTACATCTACTAGAGCATATTGATCGAGTAATTAGCATCTAGCCCAGCGTATATTCTTATGTAGTGAGCCATTCTAGCATTTTCAGCTCTTACTCTGTTTATAAAGCCACAAACTGGACGATCAAAGCGCTGCTCATGATTCAAGTCGTCATGAGTGGATTTCATTATTTCTTTACAGATTACACACGTATATCTTAGCTCGTCCATACTCCCACGACGCCATCTCGTCTGCCTTCAACAAGATATCCATCTCTTACACGTACACGCTCCACGATGGCGGGAGTCTTACCCTCTTCAGCGGCCGTGATGCCGGCGCCGCATTCCCATTGTCGTCCCTCTACCTTATCGTACACCTTGACAACGTCCTCACCAGCAGCACTGACGATTCTTCGGGCATCAAACATCGTGTCTGTGATTGGATTGTCGTAAGCATAGGCGTCGTAAATAGACCCTGTTCTAAGGTCCCAAATCTGTGGTCACAATTAGTCACGGTGTACTTGGAAGAATGTAAGAGAACAACGTACCCTGATGCTTCGATCTACACTTCCCGTCACCAGATGCACATCGTCGAATTGGAGACATGTAACTGCACCTGTGTGACCAACTAGACTGCGATGGACCTGACCGCTTCGAAGATCCCAAAGTCGTACCATGCCGTCTGCGGTACCACAAGCGAGTGCCGTCTCAAAGACCTGCAATGCACCCACGAAGTCGGCCGAACTGCTCTGAGACCGCCCCGTAGGTCGCCACCCGCTGTCTGTAGTCGTCATACTTGCTGCCGCCGCCCACATAACGTCTAATGTTTGCACGCAACGTCCCTTTTCAAGGTCCCAATGGCGAATCGTCTTGTCTGCAGAACCGGAAACCATAACATCGCCCCTGAAGTGAAGGGCTGTGATCTCGTCGACATGTGATTCCAATGTGTACAGAGGGCAATCAGCCATGCTACCAGGTGGGGGTTCGAGATGGTTATCCGTTCCAAAAGCGATAGCATCCTCATCGTCGTCTTTTCCCAAGCCGCCATGAGGGTCGTAGTGCGCCTTACTGAGATCCCAGAGTCGAATGGTCGCATCCATAGAGCCCGTTGCGAGAATGTTATCCTCAACCTGTAAGGCGCGTACCGAAGCAGTGTGCCCTTCCAAATAACCCATGCATCTACCAGCGTTGAGATCCCAAACGCGGACTGTATCGTCCAGCGCAGCAGTAACCATAGTCCCGAAGGGGGCGTCAAAGTCAATAGCTGTAATCGTGTCCTTGTGTGCTCGGAGCTCGCGAATGGCTGTGCCAGGCTCGAAATGCTCGTGCAGAATGGGCATTGACTTCTTACGATGTACCTTTTTCGTTTTCCGGGGGGTGCTGCCTGCTTCTGAGGAGGGGATCTTATCATAAACTGACTGGGACATGAACTCTTGATCGTGATCATCGGCATCGCCTACCAGATCTTGTTCGTCCTGGGTTCGTGTGTTTCGTGCGATTTCCTCAGCCTCATCAACCAGCGCCTGCGCCTCATCCACTCGGATTTCCATCTCGGAAACTTGTCAAGTCAGTAGAGTCTTGTCACGTAATTGGCACATCACATACTGTCGTGCTCCAGCATAGCTTCATCTTGCTCCAACCCAGCGAGCCTGTCCAGAATAATTCTTCGCATGCCGTGGAGATTAGCTATTTTGTTATCGATTTCCCGAATCTCGTAGCTCGCCATGCTCTTACGAGTGCCTAGCAGCCCAAACTCATGCATCATGGCGGCCTTCTCTTTTTTTAATTGAGTCAATTTTTTGGGGCTTCCTGGCGTCCCATCTGAGTCTTCCAGCATCTTGCGACCGCGGGTGACTCGTCGCTGGAACTTTTTGCCCTCGTCAGTCAGCTCGGGGAAGCTGGCCTGGAAACCCTGAAACAGCGAGTATGGATTGTCATGCTCGGGAATATTGGCGAGCAGTTCATCGGGAAGGTATGTCAAAGCGCGATGCTGGATTTCGTGCGTTGAAAGTCTGGAGCGCATGAGGTCGGTAGGAGTTGTCCTGGCCATCGCGAACATGCTTCGCTGGACCGTCGGCCGCTTCATTTGTTTGTGCACCTCAGCCATCGCGGTTTGGTAGTGATGGGCCGTGGCTTCGGCATTGGGCCCGATCAAATGAGTAGCTGTGGTTGTGACCTTTCGACTGAAAGCCTCGAGTCCGCGCGTCTACCCAAGAAACAAAGCATTGAGGTTAGCTATATGCGGCCTGTATGACAAGAGACAATGGAACTCGAGTAGGTATCTACACACCGACACAATAGACTGGTCGTCATCTCCGCCTTCGTCGAAGCCATAGTGAGTCTCTTGGTTCGCCATGGCCTAGCTCCTGGCGGAGGTGCAGAAGCTCAAGAGAATCGGAGGGCCTTAGAGCGATTGGATTGGGGTGCAAGATTGACGCTGAGGCTTCGCACAAGGAAGAATCAAAAGATTTGGCAGCTCACGAGGAGTTTATCATGACGCGCGCCGGGATAACCTTGGTTATTGAGGTGGAGGGCAAAAAAGACCCGAACAGGCTTGGATTTGGGCTTGGGAGGCTTCTGATCCGAGACGCTAATGTGGGCAAGAGCAGGATTGGATGGATGACATCCCTCTGTAATTGGCTCATGCGTCACTTATGCCACAGCGTTGGAACTGCTTGAATGATCGCTGGGGGCTGCGAGGATAGTGGCGCACAGGTGAAGCTGTGCCCTGTAAGGTGTTTTAAAATGCCCTCCACTTCCGGTGACGTTCAAGGCCGAGCTCGACCTCTTCCCCGAGCTTACCCCTCCATGCTCAATTTTATTGTGCCGCAGGAAGTGGGAGGATGGAAGGGAAGGGAAATGCCGGCTCTAGTTCCGCCCATGCCCTCTCCCCTTGGGCTCTTGCCGACCATCTCATGGGCGGCAATCTTTTAACGAGTTGGTAAGGCACAGAGCTCCAGCCTTTCCGTGCCCGCTTTATGCTACCAACTAATGGGTATAGGTGGTGATTAACCCTTCGGTACTTCAACATTGACTTTGTACGACGACTCATTACCCGAATTCTGTCTTTTACGAGGCCTGGATCCAATCTTTGGATCATTCAGGTCAATACATACACCTCAGAAGCGCATCTCCAAGGCGTTCGATTACCTTCTTTTTATTTTATTTCAGTCAGAACCACTATGGATACCGTTATCAACATGGCCGATGCCGCACACGCACTGGATCTGGCCCGAATCCGATTCCAACTTATGTATGAGCTGCTCCCGGCTCCCCGTACCATCTATCTTGCCATTGAGCACCCAGACTGACAATGGTAGTCGTCTTGAGGACACAATCACGTTCCATCTGATCGAGAGAGTGCAATTCGCATTGAATGGTGTAAGTGGGATTAGAACGCCTTATGCAAACCCCGGTCCAGCCGAAAGATCCCAGATCGCATAATAACGATAATTAATCATGTCATCATTCTAGACGATCTACGTTCCCGGAGCTGTGGAATTGCCTGAAGCGAACCTGAGCTTCCTCGACTGGTATTTTCGCGAGCAGGAGAAGCTACAATCCCTTATCCGACGCTTCGAGTCGCCTGATGAATATCCTTTCTTCCCTGATGCATTGCAAAGCCCAATACTCAAGCCTCTCAACTACCCCAAGATCTTGCATGAGAACAACGTCAATGTGAACGACAAGATCAAGAAATTCTATACGGAAAAGTTCCTCCCCGCAGTTTGCCCCGATTTCGGACGCGAGGAGCGGGGTGAGTCTCAAGAGAACTACGGCTCAACCGCAACTTGCGATATTGCTTGTCTGCAAGCTCTATCACGACGCATTCACTTCGGCAAGTTTGTCGCAGAGTCCAAGTTCCGGTCGGACGAGGAAAAGTATATTCGGCTTATCAAGGCTGAAGATCGGGAGGGCATCGCTGAATCCATCACTAATGCAGCAGTGGAGAAGAAGGTCCTTGAGCGACTACGACTCAAAGCTCTGACATATGGCAAGGACCCCTCCATCCCCGACGGAACTGAGGGAGCCGCGAAAATCGATGTTGACGCTGTTGTTTCAATGTACAAGGACTTTGTTATCCCATTAACCAAGGAAGTCGAGGTGGAATACTTGATGCAAAGACTAGAACCAAGTGCCTGAGCTTCATCTCATCTATTGCGCCGCACTGAGATATTCATTAACAGCTTTGACCGCCCCTGGGAACTTGCTCGCCTCGATAAGAATCATGTGCCCGTGCGCCTTAACACCCATTTCTTGGAATGCCCGTTTACTGTCTGCCGCCGACTCGTCCTCTTTTGTGTAATTGAAATTGCCGTGCGCTACCGCGTGTTTTTGCAGCACCTCGTCCTCCATGTGGAAATAATAAATGCCGGCCTCCTCCTTTGCCTTTTTGCGCTTCTGATTCTCGACATCCAACTTAGATTCGAGTTCCTGGTATGTCTTGGACAATATCAAGTAGTGGGTGAAATCGTAGGGTTCCTTGTCCTCCACAGCAGCCTCAACCTCGTCGATAAGCATTGAATATAGCGGCGGGGCCAGCTCAGAAGGCATGTTAATGAGGCGTTCAGAGAACACAAGTCCCACGTGTTTTCCACTTTTGAGAACTTCGGCAATGGGTGCCAGTGGCGAGCTACTCTGCGCCTTCTCGATCAGGTATTTGATGATATCGTTCATGGGCTCCTTTTCCTGGTGGACAACCGTGTTAAGAATCGTGAGCATAGCGTAGGCATCAGTGGCCTTTCCGTCAACCTTGATGGTAGAACCAATGGTGGGTTGCGAGAGAACGAGATCGGCGAGGGCAGACATGTTGAAGAGATTCGCATCAACATCGAATAGTTGTCGCAAGAGAGTCTTGGTGCCGTGGAAGTCGACCTCGGGGTCAAAGTTGAACCACTCAAAATCAACGTCGACCATATCGAAGTCCTTTGGTGCAGTCAGTAGGATGCGCATGCAATTTTGAAAGCATCTTGCCTACCTCGTCATCAGAACCGTCCTCGTCCATTTTGTCGACATCAGCCGGCGAAACATCCTTGCCCTCTTCGCGCGCTCGCTTCTTACCCATTTTTGAAAATTAGATGGGTGTCGATTTGGAAGATTTGATGTTAGAACGAATGTAAGAAGACTGAGAAGGTCAATTGAGTTACTGGCGCAAAAAAAGTATAAGTTGGCAAAGTTTCACCAGTGATGTTGAGCCAAAACATTTTCTAGGCCCCTCATCACTAACAACTTTTTAGGGCGCTGATAAGATAAGAGTAACTGAGGTACCTTACCCAGGCTGCAGTGGGAGCTTCCCTCAAGGATGGATGCCAGTCAGGTGTCATGGGCCAAGGTAAGGCAGGTACCTAGGTAGGTAGGTAGTAAGTAAGCTCCCCAGCCTAGACGGGAATGGCTGCAACCTGCGGGAAGAGAAACGCCTCGAACGATGAATGGCGAGAATAAGCTACCTCGTATCTGGGGCGACTTCTGTTCATAGAATTTTGAGGCGTAAGGTACTCATCAAGACAATGAGTTTCGAGGGTTGCAGGAAGAGAGGAAGTACAAGTATAAATTAGGTACTATTGTCGTGCTAACAATCCATTAAAGTGCCCATCAGGTTGGATCTGGGCAGCTCCCGTCCTCGCCCGCTCAATTTGGTACTCGTACTCCACCTCCATCTTGGTCGCTACCCCCGTCCGTCCCTGCCGACCACCGACTGGACTTAGTTCAAGCGCGCGCTGAACCAACGCAACGTCATTCCTCCAGCTTCTCTCTCCCATCAACAATCGCCCAACGAACACAATCGCCAAATTCTATCGTTGATATTTCATTTGCGATGGACTACAGCTCCACGATCCACGACGTGGAGGATCCCGCAGGCGATTCACCATGGGGCAACTCCCCTGTGTCGTCTCCATCGCGAAACAACATTGCTGCCTTCAATCCCGCCTCAGCTGATGCTCCTCCTCCCTTTCGCTACAACACACAATCCTCGAATGGCCTGTCTCAGGACCAGCCTGCATCTCAGTCTGAAGAATTCCAGCGTCCAGGGACTGCGACTACAGCCTCTGGCACCGAAGATGGTACTGAGGCTTCAGGTACACTGAACACCTCAGAGGCGCAGTCGCAATCCACAGCCGCTGAACCGTCAGCGGGGGAGGACGGACAATCTCAAGCACATAGCCAGCAACACAGCCAGGCTGGTGTGCCGGCTTCACAGTCTGGACAGGAACAGCACCCCCCAAAACCGGCTGGGCCTCAGTATCGACTCCAAGCCAAGATTACGGGACTCGAACGCACTGGCAAGAAGGATCCCATCCTCCGATTCGATGTTCACGTACGATATCCGAGTTCTTTTTATACCTCCATGATGGACTGACAAGTCACAGACTAACATTCCCCGCTTTCGAACAACTCAATTCCGAGATGTTCGCCGTCTACACTCCGAGTTTGTCAAACTCGCCGATCATCTGATATCTGCGAATCCAGAGGTGTTTGTTCCTGCGGTCCCACCGCCTCTGACCTCCGCTGGAGCTGGGACAGACGAGGACGAGATTCGGGTCAAGGCCCTGATGCAGCGGTGGTTGAACTACGTTTGCGGTAACGAAATCCTGATGCGGGACGACGAGATGGTGCTCTTTGTGGAGAGTGACTTTGGTTATAGCCCCATGGTTAAGAAGAAGCAGCCAGCGACAGGCGTCCGCAGAAAGATTTTGAAGCAGTTTGCTCCACCCCCTGATGATACCCCCGAGCTTGCGGACGCACGTCCAACCGTCAAGCTCTTTTATCTTGGTAGCATGGATGCCGGACACAAGGTTGATAAGTTGGTGAAGGCCAGGAGGGGTAAGCTTCTAAAAACCGCACAAACCCAGCATGCTGAACATCTTTAGGACTTGGCCTCTCCGAAGCCGATTATGGTGCTAAACTCACAAGTATGCATGTCCAGGAACCCCATCCTGGTTTGGCAAATGCATATCGAAAGCTGGGTAAAGTCGTCCAGACCGTCGGCGACTATCATGCTGCCCAAGCGACAGCAGAGGCTACAACTATTGGCGACCCATTCCAATATCACTCACAAGACGCTTTCATCGTCAAGGAGTCGCTTACCAACCGCCAGATTCTGATTCG